CATTGAAAGGTGTGCTGTTGAATTCGCCGAAAACAATCGACCAGTCGAATAATAGCGCCATCATTGTCATCGTTGCACGATATCATGAGACCGTTGAAAAGATTGAGGCCGTAAACAGCGACGGGATTAGTAGTGAGATAGATACGAAAGATGCCTGCCGAGAAAGTCTGGATTAGAGGAAAGTTCTCACGGAGGCAGAGATGGCGACTTACACTCAGGATTTTCCAGCCACTGACGATGATGAGGGAATGGAAAGTATCTCTGGCACTGTCGCTGACGTTGAGGAGACGTAGAGCACGCAAAGCCTTGAAGGCACCGATTGCTCGGGATATCTCTCCATCTTTCGCCAAGAGAGTACCGACATTGATCAGGAGAGTGGCGAGTACGATACCATCAATGATGCCCCAGGAGCTTCGGTAGTAGGCGTTCGGCGTAAAAAAGAAGCCGTCCGCAATGACCTTGATCACAGCCTCCACGAAAAAGACTATCGCGAATGCCATGTCTGTCCAGACGTACCAGAAGGTAATACTAAACTCTGGATGCTGCTCTTGGTACTCTTTTTGGTACAGCGGGGTCGTGACGCAAGCAATGATTACCATCGCTACGATAGCAGCATAAATGAAGACGCTAAAAGTATACCAGGCGATCTTGTTGGGCTCGACGCCATCGAATCGCTCGCTGCCTCTGCCGGGTCCCACCAACCTTTGACAGGCACGACGGAGAGGGTTATGCGGGGTCAAGAAGAATAGGGAATTGTTATAATTCGGATGACGCGCGAGATACTCTCTCTGGGCTTTGCGTCTCGCCGACGTGGCAGAGACAACCTGACGCGCCATCTGTCGAGGATCGAGTGTTTCATTGGTGCCCTCGAGGCGTATGTTTGAGTAAAACGGATTGGGATCTTTACCACTCATCCGCGCAACAAGTTTGCCCCACCACTTCGAGAGAAAGCCGGGCTTCACGTCCCCAACAGCGAACGTAGTTGCACGGGGCGCAAGATGCGCTCTCTCGTTGTGCTGAGTTCCTTGAGATGCCTCTTCCGAATCATCAAGGAAGTCTCGGACGACTGCGTCCTTGAGCAGCATCTCCATCATAGCTGGGCCATAGTCGAGGGGATCCTTTTTTCTTCTGGCCCTGCCGAACGAGAAAATGGTGGATAAAGAGAGGTTGCTCGATGATTTTCCAAGTTCCTTCTTTTGTAGAAATGCCTTAACTTGTTCCAATCGCTTCTCGTCCTCGCTCACGTCGAAATTTTCCTGAATGACAGCAATAAACATATTGACGAGAATCAAGAAGGCCAAGATGAACCATCCAATCAGGAAGACAGCTCCGACCCAAGACGTACCGAAGGGCAGCGAAGTTTCGGTCACCTCATAAAGAATCGAGGTCCAGTCTTCGCTCGACAGGATTTGCCACATACCCAGAAAAGAATTGTACACATTGAAGAACGATATGTCTTCCTTTTGCGAAATCTCGCCGCGGAACAGCTGAACGGCAAAGAGCGCCATAATGAAGGTGATTAGGAAGACAAAGAGCATCAAGTTCCAGATACCCGTCGCGTTACCCAGAACCCGCCGAATCAGGTTCCCTGTGATTGGAACAGCGAGGACAACTCGGTAGATTCGAAGAATCTGAAATATGGTCAAGTAGGCGTACACCTGTCCTGCATTCCGTATCGGTGGGAGGAGGATTATGGACGTCGTTACGGCCAAAAATAGATCGAAGAGATTTTTCCACGTGCTGTGGAATCTGCGCCAGTCTGCCGCGAATCTTATGATTATTTCCACGTCGAGAAGGAGGGTTGTGACGACCTCAGCGGCATCAATGAAAGCGGCGCGTCCACTGGACATCGTGGCGCTGCGGAAACACTGCGCCATAAGGCCGAGTGAGATGACAGCGATCCATATCAACGAAGTCTTGTCATATAGTGTTTGTAGACGAGACACGGGAAGCGGCGGCGCCTTTTCTTTTGGTGTAATGAGTGGATCTCGCTCCACGGTGAAAGCACTAGCTCTGCTTTCTTCCCTGATAACTTGGAAAGAGGACGTGATGACGGCAATGAGCAGGTTGATCAGCCAGAGCATCAGGATCATGATTCCTGCACCGAAGTACAGGGCAGCGGGTAGGTAATCCGAGTCTGTCGTGTAATACATGATGTCTGTAAATGTATTGGTACTCATGATTACGAATACCATCTCAAGTGACTGGAGGATATTATCGAAGCTCACGGTGCCTCCATGAGGATTGCTGCCTTGGAGGCATATTGATCCTCGGGGACAGATGAAGCCTTTTCCAGCAAGACTGCCGGGTACCAAAGTTGCCAGGTCCTCCTCGTCCTTCGCGAATACCCAAGGCTCGGTGCCATTGGAGGTTTGATTGAGGTAGCCGCCGCAGAACTGAAACTCGTTGACAAAAGCTCTGGACCGGTCCGCTGGCGCATCAGGGTCAAGCCACACGCAATGACGGCTCAGGCTAGACTTGAAGCTCTGCACGCCAATAATGGCAAATAGAAGCCAAAAGAAAATGATGAGGAAGGCGATTCGGACAAGTAGCGGCGCTGCCTTCTTCAGACTTCGAAGGATAATCTTGGCAGGTCAGCTTTCATAACTCACGTCGAGCAAAATCATCATCAACTTACGGCAGTTCCATTCGTAATAGCCAGCAAGCGTAGAATCCGCAGGCAGCTGATCATTCGAAACACGTACATGTGGTGTTTACTTTCTAGGCCAGTGATCGCCAGGACAAATGTGATCCAATAAGCGACAACGGCGAGGAAGTCCAGCCGATTGAATGAGTGTCGCATGAAAGCTCGACGGGCGAGCTGATAACGCTGGTGCTCTTCAACCGTTTGAGGGACCGGTTGCCCTTGCATGAAGGTGAGAGACCGGGCGAAAGCGGACGGCCCCAAGTTGATCTGGCGAGGCGCCTTTACAGACTTTTGACGTTGCGGTTGAAATAGGGCTCTGTACTGGTCGGTGACCGCAGCCCGCACTCCTCGTTTGCGGTCGATAGTGCTATATTCTGAGGCATTCAGGATGAAACCAGAAACAATTATTCGCGCGACGAGCTCAAGTGTAAAAACAATAAAGAGACCAAGCATGGCATAATCGATCCATGTTGTTCCCCATGTGGTAGGCCGTTCATTGCCGTCCTCAAAGACATTGGGGGCCGCCTCAATCGTCAGGAGGACCGTTTGGAAGATGATGAGGACGAGAATCATGGGCTCGGCGAATGGATGAACGAGGAAGTCGCATAGCTTCCTCCTAACAATACTTTTGGAAGAGAAAACACCCAGGGATTTGCCCTTGAGCGGGTTTGACATCGGGGGTCGAGAGGCTACACTGACATGCGGATCAACGGAGAGGAAGCCGCCTGCGGGTTCCTTCTCTACAGGATGTTGAGTTGTGTGCGAGGGGTAGGACGTATCCACGTTAAACATGTGGCCCGAGGTGTATTGTTGCCGTCTACGGTCCTCGCTCGGGGATCGCGATCGCTGAAATGACGTTCGATGGTCAGCGAGTTCTCCTTCGCCGCTACTGATGTTCACAATTCCTGTGACATGGCCCGCATGATGGACCCTGCGCGGTGAAGGGCCTCCGACGTGGAAGGAGAGCGAGATCGCCTATTGTCCCCCGGCGTCAAAGTCTGGCCGTAACTGAAGCGACCAGCAGCGCCGGGCTCCAGGTCATATCCAAGCGATCTGACATCACGGCCACGAGAAGGAGAGGCATCGATGTCGGAGACGGTCTGAAAGCTATCCCGTGGCTGTGCATCGGCCTCCCGAACACCCAATGATCGGGCTATGGGCTGGACATGCGAGGTGAGGGGTACACTATCCGACTCGAAGTAGTCCGGGTTTGTGGGCTCGTCGTAATAAGGATTTGGCGAATCGTATGGGTCGGCAGAAGCTGACAATGTTCGCCCGAACGCCGGTGGAGGTTGGTGTATCTCGGGCGGGAGGGCAAACTGTAACGCTGTTGGATCAATGGGTGATTCAGGGCCTAAGGGACCCTCATTAGGTCGAGCGGCGTATGGCGGTTGCCAATAATTTGAGAGCCCAGGTTGTCCCGCAGGTGCTTGATCTGGAGTCGGCGTGGTAGCCGAATCTCGAGCACTGTTGGGTCGGCCAGCCGGCGGAGGCTGAAGATGGCTGCTCCGCGGGCTGACCTGCTCGTCTGACGCAGATGTCATTTCGAGATGTTGTAAAGCGAGTGCTGAGCGGTTCAGGGTATTAGGTGAGTCGGGGCAAGATGCTCGGCGAGAAACAAGACGATCCAGTCATCTGCATCGAGAGCACTCGTTGACGGGTATATCATCCGAGGTTTGTCCTGGGCTGCATTGCGGTACTAGGGCGGTATCGTCGTGTATGCGATTGCGATGTCAGAAGAGGTTCGGGCCGGACCCAAAGGAATGCGCGTTGAAGGAAAGATCGCGAGTGGTCGCTTTGAGTGATTGGGATAGCGAGAGTCCAGACTTGCAACGCTCCCGAGTGTCGGGACGGAAAGGAGATGGATGCGACACCTAACTGCTCGCTCGAGAATCCGTCAGTGCCTGTTGAATCCCTGGGAGACGTTGGACCTCCCACCATTCCAGGTGGATCTTGCACAGTGCAACACTGGTGCTATGTTTGGCAACCTTGGACATTCCCCTGCAGCGATACGAGATCGGCAGGAGGGCCAACAAACGTGACAGACAGTGTGCGGGTCTGACACGGGACGGCCTCCTTGACCAAGGGGTGCAAGGGCCTCCCCAGAGGACCTGCTCCAAGAGCCGAACTCCCATTCCTGCATGGTCAGCCGCACTAGTCCATCAGCCCAAGCCAACCTACAGACTTCCAGTACCGTCAGCTACACATCTTTGTGTGCCTCAACCCTGCAATCGAAAGTACTCTAAGGTATCTTCCCAACGCGTTTGGACAGCGCCCACCGCGCCTCAGCTCTGACAGCGATCTTTGGTAGGAAATCGACTTTACGCAACTACGAAAACCCCCATGCGGATTACGTATGTCCGACAACCCATCAGAAGCAAGTCGCGATCAATTGAACGGACCTGTCTAAATTAACGACCATCTCCCCAACCCTCTGCGCTACTGCGACTCTGCTCAGGCAGCCGGAACCGAGAACGCGGGCCTGGGTCACCCACACCCGACACGCAACCTCATTCGCACAACTCCTAGCAGACTTCCGACACGCCTCTGCAACTTCTTTGCGCCTCACGAACCGACTATACAAGCCACAGCAAGCATATAGAAGTGTGCCGAAAGAGGACAACACAGAGACCGGCCTTGTGCCACTCTTCACTGTCAAGATCCTCGTTGTGACTGTGCGCGCATCATTGCCTCCGATATATGACCATGGTCTCCAGCAGCAAACGCGCGATCCACGAGGTCAGCGGCGACGTCGTCGCGGATGAAGATGTTCCTCTGCTGCACCGCATCCGCAACATGTGGCAGTTCGCCAACCTCTGCCAGTGGATCTACCTTTTCGGTAAGGTCGTTAAGTTGGACGACCGGCTGGATACCGAAGTAGGTCACTTGCGTGCCGAGCCGATCACACCACTGTACACCGGCTTCCATCCCACAACAACACTGACCAGGTGCCAGGAAATCGAGGCCGAATGTCTAAAGCCCAACTCGCTCGTGCCTCAAGAAATTGGACTGGCTCTCCTCAAGAATGTTTCATCTCATCGTGGTCTTACGTAGGTTCTACGTGCTATCTTAACGGATTGTAATCGAAGACGACTAACTCGCAGTGTCTTGCCAGCCACGAGATCTTTGACGAGTACACAAGGAGGCAGTACATGGCTAAGGCTCCCGAGAAGAACCCCTTTGGTACACAGGAAATACCGGCCAAGTTCGCAGAATTTGATGCGTTGACAAAGGTATCGTAGATCTGCGTTGACTCCTTTACTATCTTGGCGTGATCGGTCTGACTTGACATGCGCTTAGATTCGAGTACTGCAACAACTCACACAATGGGTGATGCGCCATCCTGATCGGTTACGGGAAAAGATGGGAGAGCCCAAAGACGTTGAACAGACCAACTGGGTCAGTCTCTGTCAACCCACTCCTTTCAAACCCGCAAACTTCTGACTCGCTATACAGAGAATTGAGCCAATTGGCTGGGATGCTGATGACAGGACCTACTACGTGCTCGATGACAATAGAGTCTACCGAATGACTGACGCGCCACCTCCAACACCGCCCAAGAAGAAAACGAAAACCACAAGACAAGGCCGTAGGGCCAGCAAGAGACGCAGGACCACTACAAGCGTGGAGGCCGACGACACAGATGACCCGATTGAAGCGCCGAAAAGAGCATCAGAAGGGCTAGGTCGCCAGGACGAAGACTTTGGAGGCATGCTGTGGGAATGCGTCGCCATCACGCTCGACGACGTACGTGGACTGATTGCTTCTTTCGCCAAGACTCGAGACGAGAATGAAAAGGTGCTCAAATCTCAACTGGAAGAGCATCTTCTTCCCATTCTTGAGAAGCAAGAAGAATCGAGGAAACGCAAGGCTCTCCAGCGAGAGAGGGAGCTCATCAACCTATCGAAGATGGTCAATGCGAAGCGGTCAAGCCGCCTCGCCAACAAGCATGAACAGCAGCTCGCCGAAGAGCAAGCCCGCGAAGAAGAGCAGCTTCGAGCGGTAGAAGAAGCCGCTGCTCGGAAAGCGGAGCTGAAACAGATCAAACTGGAGGCGGAACGCAACAGGCGACTGGCTTCCCGGGAGAATCGCCTCAAAGACCGCGAAGCACGTCGCCTCAAGCACGAAGACGAGCTCTCCAACCTCTCGGAAGATAGCCGCAGTGCTAGTCAAGGACCTGGCAGGTTGTCTGATCGGCAAAGACGCGCAGAAATTTTGAGGACGAAGCAAGCCCTCCAGATACTTGATCACGAGGATGAGGGGGACGACTGGATCTTTGATTGTGTCTGTGGAGTGTATGGGCAAGTGGACGATGGCACTCATAGCATTGCATGTGAGCAGTGCAATGTTTGGCAACATAGCAAATGCGTGGGAGTGCGAGAAGATGAAGCCGAAGAGTCTGATTTTCACTTTATTTGCTCGTCCTGCCGACGGGCGAAAAACGATGACCCACAAGCGAGAACCACCATCCGGCTCAAGATCAACCGCCCACGCACCGATGCGCCTCTCGATACCGCACCGGACTTCGAACAGTCCTCGATAGGAGCCGCAGAGAAGAAGAAGCCTGCTGTCGACTTGTTTGACAGCAAGGCTGAACTCGGTACCAGGGCAGTCACTGATAAAGACCTAGACGAATCAAAGACACCTTCTGATCTCGAGGCACCCGTTCACGTTGAGCCCGAGCCAGTACCTGTCACCCCGGGCATGACGAAATCAGACGGCCTTCCGGCGACGAGCTTCCCGCCGCTCAACCATGCATCAGTCAACGAAACCCCAATGCTACGGGGCTCGACAAGTCCGATGCGACCGGCTGATGGCCTGTCTTCTCCTATTTCTCGGAGCATACTCGCGACCCCGATTCTCAGCCAGGAAGGCAAACGTGTAGAGGCGGCACATGCCTCGACGCTGCCCTCAACTGAATCCGGCTTCTCTCCGACTAAACAATCACCAGCCCCACTACCACGACCCCGATCAGCCTCCTCCAAAACCAGCAGCGTGCCTGCCGTATTTCCACCCGCAATGACACTGGCACCATCCCCCCAGCAGCCAATTCTTACACCCCCTGAGAAACAAGCGGAACCTGCTCGACCACAACCTTCCGATATTTTTCGAGCCTCGTGACGCATCTGTCACAATACTTTAGACTTGTCATATGAGGGCGCGGTGAGGCTGCGCTCCCTGGCTTGCAGGTCATTATTGGAGGAGCACGAATGGAAAATGGGTGTCAGCAACGACCGGCAGGACAAGAAAGTGGCAAACTTAGACAGCGTGCCTATGCGGGGTTTGAGGATGCAGGACGTCAAGGTGCGGCCCAGTCAAGTCTGGTGCTGAGCAGCGCCAGCTAGGCAGAGACCAATACAGATGTATTGAGCACCTGCTGTACTACGCATCTATGCTCACTCAGTAGGCAGCAGAATGAATTGACGATGAGTATGCAGGTACGGTGGTAGCTCGGGTTTGAGGTAATAGTAGCGAAGGCGCCATGTCACGTCAGGCGTGGACAAGACGGTGGGACAAGCCAACCAAGCGTGCAAATCACTGTGTCTAGTGGAAGCTTTCCCGCAAATGACGGCCGCTACGCCTCAGGTGAATCGGTTGAGATTGCCAGGATGGTCTGACGTGGTGCTGAATTTCGCTGTATAATGGGGCCCCATATATCCTATTGAGAAAGATATGAATGGAATCGAAAAGGGAGAACCCACCATGGAAGGGGTCTGGAAGGGGATGCAGGGAGAAAGAAGCAGGCTGATGAATGAACGAAACAGGGGCCAGGAGGTGGGCCAAAGGATGAAGGACGAATAAGATGTCTGGTTTAGGTCTGTCATCGGCCAGGTCACAATGCAAGTCCCGGCGTATTGGCTGGCCACACATGATGGCCCTGGCACACCATGAACAGAGGGCGGAGGCAGACGGGTCAGAAGCAGAGCAAGCGCCACAACCTGCGAGATAGCGCCAAATGATAAAAAAAAACATACTGGGGGACAGAACAATCATTTTTGGATGGACCTAGACAAGCGCCACATGAGATGGTTGGAGGTTGACCAATCGTGGGCGACGCCACCAACGGTTCCGGCAGCACCACGACAAACGCATCGCTCGGCACATTCCAACTGTCCATCGACCCAGCTGTTCGCGCGTCCATGACATCCACATGGGTCACTGTCGATTCCACCGCCGACTATAGGCGTGAGGCAGCTGCTTCCACTCCACTTCTGCCGTGGAATACTTCCATCCGAGGCACCTTAGTCGGGGCTCAAGACAAGCTTCACAGCAGCCACCAGTAGCCGACACCAATACCAGGAATGATCTGGCACTGGGCAGGGTGGCCCTGAAACTGGGCCTGTAGCTGCATATTAATCCAGCTCGCCAAATACAACCACACGGCTGTTTGCCGCACAGGCCCGGTTGATGTTTCTGTCGGATCAGTTGTGTGTCCACCGGGCACGCGCGAACTGGTGGAGGAGCAAGGGAGAGAGGGCACACGGGGAACCGCTCTCAGGAGAGAGGCTCCAGGGCCCTGGGCCGCAACTAGGCCCCTCAATCCGTTGTTCATATTCCGAATGGTTGTTGCCCTCCCTTGGCGCGGCAGTGCGCGATGTATCTGCCACTGCCACCGCGGGATGTTCTGGTTTCAGTGGCGTTGCTGGTCATTGCTCCCATTAACCTAGCACGGTTCAACCCTGTTTTGTTCTTTCTGTTGCTGTCGCAAAGTGCTGACAATACAACGCCATTGGAAGGGGGGTGTACAGTGTTACTCTGTCGACTGCCACCCAACACTCTGTTGTGGGGGCGTTGCTGGTAGCAGCAGGGTCGGCATGGCGGAGACTGGAGCTGGTGCAGACGTGGATGCAGACGCACGCACTGGCTCACGAAGGAGACGATTCCAAAAGAAAAGGATAAGCTGAGGTTCGGTTCCCGGGTCGCATGGCACGCGGGGCGATGGAGAGGGTACAGTTGACGGACAACGTGGGAAAACCCTACTCGTGAGGATTGTTCGATATAGGTCCATCAAGAATGTCTTGGGGAAATAGCACACGGCCTATGTAGGGCTGGATTGGGCTGGGCTGGACTAGGTTGGCCTTGCCAGGAAGGCGAGCTGTCTCCAGGAACGGCATGGCAAGGTCGACCAGTAAGTGCCGTTCGCCCCTCCTCTTCCCCCCCCCTTCGCTCTACCTCATCACCTCTCTTCTCCCCCCCCCCCCACCTTGTTCCCCAACCATGACATCGCTTGTGATCCCGGATCCATGCACGGCCGAATGCGGCAGTACACTAGATAGGGTTTTCCCACGTTGTCCGTCAACTGTACCCTCTCCATCGCCCCGCGTGCCATGCGACCCGGGAACCGAACCTCAGCTTATCCTTTTCTTTTGGAATCGTCTCCTTCGTGAGCCAGTGCGTGCGTCTGCATCCACGTCTGCACCAGCTCCAGTCTCCGCCATGCCGACCTGCTGCTACCAGCAACGCCCCACAACAGAGTGTTGGTGGGAG